CACTGTGTGTACGCATCTGATATATAATATATATTTATATATTTATGTGTGCGTTTGTATGGATATATATACATGTGTGTTTATATTATGTATATATGTATATATATCCACACATGACACTCATTGCTACTATTCATACATCGGTTAGCAAACATCAAAAAGCACTCACATCGTATGCCTAACTATATTTGACTGAGAAAGAGACGGCATTATAATTGATTGTGACGGGCTTCAGTTGCAAGTTAGTAACTACGATCTGTGGGTAGTGGCACGCAACATCGATACTGTCTGCATTCCCGCACCAACAACACGACATCATATGAAGGTGTATTCCATCGAGGATGCTCATCGTATATGATCGTTGTCGATTCACAGACGTTGAGTAGTAAGTAATCTATTTCACTGCGGAACCCGATAGCAAGTAACTCATGCAGTATTATTACCCGGATGGTTCACAATAAACATATCAAATCTATACGACTAACATAACGTCCTGCAGTCACTGCGTTCAAATACTGAAAAAGATTGCGTTAGTAAATGCCTGAATGTCTTTTAGTAACACCCTGATATAAGATCGCGTATGTAAATGCCTGAATGTCGTTTAGTAACAGCCATGCTTGCTGGTAAAAATGCCTGATCGTCTGTATACCCGGTCGGCAGCGTCAGACGGCGGACATTGCCGATGATACACGAAGTACGACTTCGTAAATCGCTTCACTGTAGACTGCCGTAACAGCCTGGGCGAGCCCCGCCCTCTTCGTAACCAGGATGGCGTGAATGCAGAGGAGCTAGCGTATGGACCCTACTACACCCGTCCCACACATACACCCTCGCTCTAGCTAACCAGGGAGGAAGGCGTACGATCGGGTAGGGTATGATAGGGTATGGTAGGTTGGGTATGGTGGGGTATGGGATAGGGTAAGGTAGGGTGAGGTAGATTAGGGTAGGGTAGGTTGGGATTGGAAAACAATATGGTAGGCTACGGGGTAGGGTAGGGTGGGGGTATAGTAGATCTAGGCATGGTAGGGTAAAGGAGAGTAGGTTAGGCTAAGCTAAACCAGACTAGGTTAGGTTAGACTAGGATAGAGTTGATCAGCAATGGCGTGGTCACGCTGGGACGGGGCAACAGTGTACGGCGGTCGCACATAGCTGTTCGAGATCCTATTAATATCATTCATATGTAACAAAATTGTGCACTACAAACGATGGGACACTAAGAGGATCACGACGCATGGCAACCGGGCCGTGGGGGTATAGATGGGCGTGAACGCCTCCAGATCGATTCACGAGAGAGCTGTCGTTCGGAGCGTGGCGAACGACTACGTAGAAGGGTCTTTACGTGGCCGCTAGTACATGGACGATTAGCGTTGAAACATGCATAAAGTCAGAGAGCAGATCATCCGGCTCCACATATATTAATTCTCGATATATCGCAGCCTCAGATTCAAATCATGATCCCTATGCATGCTTTCGTCTGCGACTAATGCAAATAGATAGAGCTCTACGCGACGCGAGTCTCGCTCTGACAGAACAAATGAACAACCGAAATGTGCTTCCCGAACCGAACAACGAAATAAACTACAACCTTCTCAATGTACGGCCTCGACCAAACACGATGATTTTCACTCACAACCTCACGGTGCGAGCCCCCACTCTTCAAATAAATATTTCAACATGAAAATAATGCCGTCGGCAACATGGCGGCTGTATAAATATAAAAATCTCTCTGTAAATAATTACTTAATTTCTGTTAAATATACATTCAACTCGTTAAAGCCTATAATCAGAAAGGAGAAAATGATTACACTAATAATAATAATAATAATAACTCTTTGGTTGAACCAGTGCGAGGAGTACGCATATATATATATATATATATATATATATATATATATATATATATATATATATATATATATATATATATATATATATACATATACATATATACGCATCTCTGCAATATATGTTTTATATATTCTGCTTACATAAGCCTGTTACGCAATAATCCTCGATCCGCGCCGTTTGGCGGTGAATTGATGATACCCACATCTTAGTACTCCTGCATCGTTCACTCATCATCTGTACAGTATCACTGCCTTAGATACAACATATGATTGCTATGCTCTTCCTAATGGATCCTTTAATATTAGGGCTTGATAAGGTTTTTGTAGAGCTGGATGTGAGCTATTCAGCTATTCTATACGTGTTGTCGAGAACATAGCTGACCGCGGAGGGCTTGACATTTTGCCTGACATTTGGACATATATCGACTATAAATAAATGCTATAACCTTTAGTTCACGTCGTGTCGCATGTCGCGACACGCTTAGGTTTCTACGTCGCACATGGCGTCGACGGCGCGGCCATTTTGGCAATAAATGGCCGCCGGCTCGTTTACCGACCACACGTCATTCACGCAGGCAGGCATGAAACTATGACGTCACTTCCGCGCGATGAGCATCGCTGATCCCGAGAGGCTTTGCGCATGCACATCTCTGACTTGATTGACTTGACGCGCCGGAAACTAGAAATGTTATTCCTATTTCTCCCTCGTTGCGTTCTGAAATCTACTCGAATTCACGCGCTTGGAACAACGAAGAAAACTAGTTAATATCAGCATGCTTCAAGGCGGAGAAAGCGTCGAGAGCGCAAGATCTATTCATTCGGTGCACGTGGTGACTGTTGCACGAGTGAGATCTGCGATGATCTATATGAGAAGCGCTATGCTGTACTGCATGATGGCATTATAAGCAGCATCTTATTGCCATTACACTTGTCCAGTCATCTTTAAACATCTAATCGCAGTGTGAACGCAACCGTATACACTATAGATGGCGCAGTCGGTCGGATTCATCGACAGCGTTGCGCACGCGTAAGTGAAAAAAACAAGAGGCTACCCTTTGATGCTCCCTGAGGGCTACCCTAAAGGGCTTCCTGATCTTTTGAACTCCCTGAAGTTTGCCCCTGGGTCGCGTCGTTCATGCTGCGTGAGTGAGTGATGGTGTGTGGTGGAAGGGAGGAGCCGCCTATCGACGCACCAACACGTACAATCCTACGAGGTTAATACAGCAATATGCGTATATATCCGAGCGGTCGGTCGACGAAAGAGAGAGGGCCGGCTATCCCTCGTATATATATATATATATATATATATATATATACCCCCATGGAGTTGTGAGCGGCTTAGGGTACTAACACAGCACCGCCACAGTGCAGTGAGCGCGTGCAGTAAATTAGCCCGCCATTGCCGAGCATGCCCTGGAGTCTATCGGAGATCTAACATGTAATGACATTTGCACGCGAAGTGCTGCGCAACGCCTTTTAGACTCGCGACATTCGTACACGAATTCACGACGTTTCCGATAAGGGGTACCACGATAGCCGGCAAGTTGTATAGAAGGGGGGAGAGGGTGTCCCCTGCTAGGGTTTGCCCAACCTGCAGGTTTTACGAAGGATGCGCGCGAAATGGTCGCATGCCTTTTGTCGAACGCTTTTCGCGATATAACTCATCGGCTCACCGATGACACGTCAACTCAACCAGAGATCAAAACCTGAGTCTAGTTTGCTGCGCTAGATTTCACACGTGTGCTATGCATGAGGTACTGAAATCTATGGCAATTCGGTCGTCCACCCGGCAACCCAGGTCCGTCACAACTGCATCGCGCATACAAGCGGTCGCCGCCGCCATCGTCATCGCCGCCAACGTCAACATCATCGTCCTCGCACTTCAGACAAACATGGTGGGTGCTCGGAGCGAGATCGTGTTCGGTGTCACTGCATTTTGGCGCCACCTATCGGAGACTGGGTGAGGTAGTTTCCTATGCTTAACTCGCCATGCACGCAGACGATGCGGTTGGGTTCGCGCTGCAGTAGCTACGCATGCGCATGCGCAGCTACTCGGATGTATATAGCGCGGATGCAGTTTACAAAAGCACCGTGACGGACCTCGGTGCCGCGTCATCAGAGGTCAAAGGTCGCACACGCATTTAATTATGTGAGGTCAAAACAAAACCCGGATTTGAGGTCAAAATGAAACCCGGATGCTTATTTAGAGGTACGTACGTCATGGCAAGAAACTACCGATTTTTTTCCGAATCCTTAAAAACATTACACAAAAGCACCAACGCCTGTTGTAGCCAGCAGGAGTCGCCACTTGCGACAATGCCGAGAGTGGCAGGCATGCGTACGATAGCGGCTTGGAGCAAAAGCAACCGCACCTTTGCCGCATGCGCATTCGTACGGCAGCAACTTTCCATCTACAAAAGCTGCCCTCCGTTACTGCTCCTCATGCTACACAGAGAGATAACATGCGAGCACGAACGAATATCAGCCGTGCTTCTCTTGCGTTGTCCGTGTCAGGGTTTGACAGGTACACGCTATAGACTAGATCATATGACTGACTGACTGACTGACTATACACAGCCTTACTGTAGCTACTGCTTTAGGGAGACATACCAACGTGTAGCAGAACGAGCCGGCAGTAGCAATAGCCTGCAATGAGAATATCCAGACTCAGCATATTCGAGATGAACTACACCTTAGTACATCATACGACGCGCACGCGGTCTAGGAACACGTGCTAAGCCGAGCGGGTGGTCTGACACGATGCACAGGTCGTGCAGTGTGATCTCAGCAGGCGTGTGTGGTTTCCCCTCCCGCTAATATACACATAACTGATACTGTCGACAGGAAACTTCATCGATGACCTCATCCACATCCAGGGGGCGCCACCTTCCGCGTTCGCTGATGTGCCGCGTAGGACTGCCTGGTATGTAGACGGCCGCCGGCTGTTTTGCTGTCGTGCTTGCGTCCGAACGTCGGACGGCGTTGGCGTACATCTAAAATGGCGGCCGTCTTCTAGTAGGAGAGTCTCTATGCGAATTGTGCTTTTTTACGTCGAAGCCGCAGCAGACGCCAAAGACTGTCGGGGGCAGACGACAGCATTCCTCAACAGACGATACGTACGTACACACGCACATACACGCACATACGCACACACACACACCACAGACACATAGATAACATCTGTACACACACACGCGCGCGCGCGCGCACGCACACGACTGGCATGTAGAAGACCCCGACGTCGGAATCCCACTGATGCGGCGACGGCGGCTCTTCGCGAGACGCCCGTGCTGCCACCTAGTTGTGCTGAAGGAGTAGCTGCTCAAGCTCGTCGGCGGACCGGTAGAGGAAGGCAGCCGACTCTCTGTATCCGGCTATCAGCTGCTTGACGGCCTGCACCTCGCTCGGCGTCAGCTGCGACTTCATGCCTTTCGCCTTGATGCTGAGATCGGTTGGACCTGACACATAGAAATTGTTGGTTTTGGTGACTGCATGCTGGCAGTTATGGGGGGATGGCGTGGTTGGCGTTGTTTTGTTATCTGTATGATTACTCTCTCACATACACGCTCTCCCTCACACTCTCTCACTCTCATTTTCTTGCTCTCTCGCGCTCTCTCTCTCTCTCTCTCTCTCTCTCTCTCTCTCTCTCTCTCTCTCGCTCTATCAATCTATCTATCCCTCTCTCTATCTCACTCTAACACACACCCATTCTCAATCTCTAACTCTCTCCTTCTCTCTTTCTATCTCTCTCTCTCCCTTTGAGATCTCTTTCTTTCTTTCTCTCTCTCTCTCTCTCTCTCTCTCTCTCTCTCTCTTTCTCTCGCGCTCTGTCTGTCTCTCCTCTCGCTCGCTCTCTATCGTTCACGCTCCGCTTTCCCATCTCCCTTTTATCCCCCGTCCCCTCTTATAGACGTCCATGCGGCATGAAAAGTGACACTGGGTTTGTGGAAAAATCACGCAATTCGGGCAAATAATGTAGCGACCGTGTTTATGTGCAAAACGGGATCCGGTGTTAGGTAACTGGAATTATACATTATGCCGCTGGTTCAACGATTTCTGTCGAAAAGGTTTCAGGCGAATTTTGGACGAAATCTTTGAATCTGTGATAATATAACACGAATATCACGTATGTTGTGCATGCACTGAAACCTTTAATAGACGTATTTTCAATTGATTCTACTGCGCGACATGCTTATTCAGGCCTGCTGATTGCTGACGCCATCTAGCGGGTGAGTTTTACCTACATGCTATCAAGAGTTAATAATACCGGTATTAGGTATTATTATAATTAGCTGCTCATTTATTAGGAACTGCTTGTATACTTTAGTAGCTACTAGTGTACATTGGTAATTACTGTTTTATTAGGTATTGAGGTAATATTAGCTCTTGATGCTAATTATTAAGTATTATTATAATTAGCTACCGATTTATTAGGTACTTTAGTACTGGTAGCTACTAGTATACTTTAGTAGCTACTAGTATACTTTAGTAGCTACTAGTATACTTTAGTAGCTACTAGTATACTTTAGTAGCTACCGCTTTATTATGCATTATTAAGGTATTATTAGCTCCACATGTTATCAGAAGTAGATAATAGGGAATCCCCTAAAACGCCCTATGATCTACTAACGTACTGATGTTATCAGGAGTAAGATAATATAGGTTATCTAGATAATATAGATAATAAATATCTTATAGATTATAGATTAATATAGATAATATAGATAATATAGGTTATCCTGATGTTATCTATACGTACCGTTGATGAGCGGCTGCGCGTGCTGGATCAGCGGTGGCTGTGTGTGGTGCAGCGCCGCCGGCTGATAGCTGGGGAACCCGGGTCTGAACAGCCCGTTGCCGTTCGCAAACAGGTGCGAGTGGTCAGGTCGCACCGCCTGGAAGGCGACCGCCTGGCTGCGCAGGAAGCTGTCTAGCGTGGTGGGCGGGGGCGGAGGCGGCGGCGGCTGCGGGGGCGGCGCCTGTATCCGCGGCTCGGGGGTTCGCTCCACGCCAGCGTCCATCCTCTGAGAAGAGGCGGCGAGAACGAGAACAAAATATAAGCGCGAAATTAGACGCGTTGGCGGAGGCGGTGACGCAGGCGGTGACGGAGGCGGTGACGGTGACGGTGACGGAGGCGGTGACGGAGGTGGCGGTGGCGGAGGCGGTGACGCAGACGGTGACGGAGGCGGTGACGGAGGTGGCGGTGGCGGAGGCGGTGACGCAGACGGTGACTGAGGCGGTGACGGCGGCGGAGGAGGCGGTGACGGAGACGGTGACTGAGGCGGTGACGGAGGTGTCGGTGGCGGTAACAGAGGCGGCGTCGGTGACGGACGCGGTGACGGAGGCGGTGACGGACGCAGCGGCGGCGGTGACGGCAGTGACGGAGGTAGTGACGGACGCGGTGACGGAGACGGTGACGGAGACGGTGACGGACACGGTGGTGACGGAGACGGTGACGGACACGGTGGTGACGGAGGCGGCGGTGACGGAGGCGGTAACGGAGGCGGCGGTGACGGAGGTGGTGACGGAGGCGGCGGTGACGGAGGTGGTGACGGAGGCGGCGGTGACGGAGGTGGTGACGGAGGCGGCGGTGACGGAGGCGGTAACGGAGGCGGCGGTTACGGAGGCGGCGATGACGAAGACGGTGACGGAGACGGTGACGGAGTCGGTGGTTACGGAGTCGGTGGTTACGGAGGCGGCGGTGACGGAGGCGGCGACGCAGTGACGCGTGACGTAACTTCGGCGAGTGTCGGACTGTTTCGCGCATTGACCATCGGTGACGTCACGAAAACATGCATCGACTTTGTGCGACGGTCGGCTCCATGGCCGAAGGACACGAATGAGAGATGCGCGTGCTCATGCCCGGATGCTGCGGCTACAACAGCCCACAAGTTCGCCACTATTATTAGCTAAGTGCAAAAGCGTATGTTTTCCCCCACCGCCCGAAAGAAATTGTGGGCAGAGTTACCCAGCTTACCGCGCTGGTGCCTTTGCAGCCAACCCAAATGTCACGATGCGATATCGCATCAGGGTAGGTGCCAGGGCCCCAGGCAGGCAGCGAGGGCAACTGCAATGAAGCAGAGAATAGCAGCCGAAATTATTCAAACACAGTGCAGTAGCATGCATTTATACGAAGCACGCTGATGGGACGAAGGCGCGTGCCGGACGTAGGGATACTGATTGCTTTAGTGATGTATCTGGTAGTGAAATAAGAAGTGTAGGTTGAGAGAGAGAGAGAGAGAGAGAGAGAGAGAGAGAGAGAGAGAGAGAGAGAGAGAGAGAGCAGGGGAGAGAGATGGGCGGAAACAGACAGTCACGAGATATGGTGTGTGTGTGTGTTGTGTGTGTAGTGTGTGTGTGTGTGTGTGTATGTGTGATGTGTGTGTGTGTGGTGTGTGTTGTGCGTGTGTGTGTATGTGTGTGTTGTGTGTGTGTGTGGTGTGTGTGTGTGTGTGTGTGTGTGTGTGTGTGTGTGTGTGTGTGTGTGTGTGTGTGTGTGTGTGTTCGGTGTGTGGTGGTTGTTTTATTCCACTGGGTTACGGCTGTCATGTTGCGATGCGTGCCGGGCGGAACGAAGAGAGCATAGTGAGAGAGGGAAAGAGAAGGTCAGAGATCAGAGAGAGAGACAGAAGGAAAAAAAAACGAAACATAGAGAGAGAGAAAGAGAGAGAGAGAGGGGGGAGAGAGAGCAACACGGGGGGGGGGAGAGCGAAAAAAGATAGATCAAAAGATAGAAGATGGAAGATGGATAGTGAGAACGCCAAAAATCACAATGTAGAGAAACAGCGCAGAAATTCCATTTACATTTTTCGGCAAACTGTGCAGTTCCATGTTGAAGTCCATGAAAGTCTGCAGTGGAGTCGCGCGTGATTCTTTTTATCACATACAGGTGGCGTAGGGTTCAAGGCCCATCCGTTTTCGTTTGGCGTTCTGGCTCTCGTTTTCGCACGCGCGGCTACATGCATTCGGCTGCGGCAGACGTGAGAATGGCGGAGGAGTCGGGCGCTGAAAACACGCAGCAAAAACATCGACAGTTAGCAACAATCGACAGAACAAACATTCGAGACAAGACGAGAAAACGAGAGAAAAAAACGCGTTTTCTATTACCATCTATAAACAGCGATCGTGGCGTGGCGTGCGTGCGTGCGTGGGTGTGTGGGTGTGTGCATGCGTGCGCAAGGCAGCATAAATAGCTGGGTGCAATTCCGCCTCATATAAGTCGCGTTCACCACGGTCATGGTTTGGTCGAGCCAAATGGGCTAGAATTTGGCTCGGGCCAAATTTGGCTCGGGCCTAATTGAAGTCGGAGCGTTCACACGTACGCAAGGTGAATACATGTCTGTCAAATTCAAATCAAATTCAAATAAAATTTTATTACACAAATATACTCACAGATACTTTGGACAGTATGTCGCGAGATGGGCGTTGTTTACGATTTAGAGTGTTTAACTTACGTTCCGAAGTTTAATTATCAATCTGAAAACTGACATCCTGATAAATATTTTTCGAATTTGTATACTGTTTTGGACTTTATTTCGTCGAAGTATCACGTTCGACACTCGTGACATCTACCGCTCAAACCGATTCTACCGCTCCTACCCCTCGCCGAAAAGCTGGTGCTAAGATTTGGCTGGGCCTGTCCGGCCGCTTTTCGATGGACCAAAATCTGGCACGGGCAGCTAAATTAGGCTCGGGCCAAAAACGTCCGTGTGAACGCGCCTATAGTTTTATCATTAGCCGCAGAGAAAAGCAGCCAGTCTGCGCATGCGAGATTACGGCAAATAAAAGAAATATCATCTATGTATAGCTATCCCAAATACGCGTCGGATAACTATATATAATAAGGGGTTACGAGAGACCCACGACAACTTTACTACAAGCGGGATTAAAATACGAAAGCGTTACTCTGCAAACTGTTTTCAAACCATGCACATGCAACAAACAGCGTATAAGGCATCCGACGTAAACAGAGCGCTTCGTCGGATGCCTTTTACTGATGAGAACCAAATATATTGTCTCAGCCTACCGCCCAGTCCCCTTTCTAGCTATTTAGTCTTACTGTCGACCAGCTATAGTTCCACACCATAAGACTCATAGACACGCACCATCGGCTGGTGTGTACGATGAAATGATAGTGATGCAGCCCCCCTCCCCCCACAAGCTCAGCCGCCCACCCCAACAACACTCAAGCTAACCTTTCCCGTACCACCAGCAAGCGCGCGCAAAATCTGCGGTTGGCGAAACATGCAGAGATAGCGAGAGTGAGTGAGAGCGAGAGAGACTAGTAAAGAGAATATAAATTATAAACACCGTTTGTAACGTCAGCCTGACCGAGTCCCATCCATTCTCTTTCGCTCGTTTCATTCGCCGACACGACTTAAGATATGTGCGGATGCGCTTTCGTGACCGCTCTTGCAGCTCGGGGAACTGTCGATTACAGGACTCGATAATCGCTTGAATTTTCTCTTTCGGCTGCTTAGAGATTGGCACCATTCTGTCAAGGTTCTCATCCACAAAAAGGCGCACAAACATCTGGAACACGAATTCAACTTTAGGATTCCTGCTGCTGCTGCTGTCCGCCCGTCGCCCGGGGGGGATCGGAGGCGAAAATAGTAATGCAGTAGGGTGAGGGAGTTTTGGAGGTTTAGGACTGCATGTGACCTGTACGGATGCGTAAGAAACTGTCGTCACGTCACCGGTTGGAAGGATAATCAGACGTTCGTCTGCACGTGACGTGCACGTGACATGCACGTAAACGCAAGCACTGATGTCACGTGGTGGGGGGGGGGGGGAATTTCGGAGGTCCGACAGCATGTGACGTCACGTGGCGGTGGGTGGGTGTTAGAGAGGGTAGGTGACTTATCAATAGGAGCAATGAATACGGGTCTCTAACTGCCGCTGTGGATTACGTCCGCGTGTGTGCGTGATTCGGAGCAGACGACACCTCTTAGGGCGACGTGGGGTACGGGGAATTGTGTGTGTGTGTGTGTGTGTGTGTGTGTGTGTGTGTGTGTGTGTGT